ACTGTCTTCAACAATACATTTAAACACAATTACCTAAGAAACAAATCTAAATAAAAAACATGTTCTTCAAATGACCCACCAGTTAGTCAATTTTTTTAAATATGCAGGTTTGTACAACCATAACATTAGCCAAAGAAGCCAAACAACTGGTTATTGGTGGTTCCATAAAGCAGCAAAAGACCTTTAAGTGGTTTTAACTTTTTGCCAACTTAATATTTCAGAATATTACTCTTGGCAACATAAATTAACCAACATTGTTAATATATAACAGTGATTTTACTGTGCTTTTTATTTGGCTAATACATTTTCATAAAAAAGATATAAATAAACTTTCTAAACTAAACTAAACTAAAATGTAACTAATTTAACTAACTACTTGTCTTAAACATTTAATTTAATAAGCAACAATGGCTATTTTAGTGAAACACTGGTTTAATTACAAAAAAACAAAATGTTTTAGCCATTTTAATATGACATTCAAAAACTGTCAAACAGATGAAAATATTAAGATACATTTGTCAAATGGATTAACGTAAATAAATGGGGTCTGCAAATAAACCCCCCAGCCCTACCATACAACTCACACAACTAGCAAGTGTAACATTTGTCAAACACTCCCCAACAGCTGACAATCATAATGCACTAGAACTATATTTCAATGTGCATTTGTATTATATGGCTTGCACTGCCATAACAATAAAGAGTGAGACCCTATGTCGCACACTGTGAGAATATGACTGTCAACAGTCAAAGGAAATTATTAAAATCAGTGGAATGGCAACTCTGCTGTTTAAACACTTCACTAGAGAGAGAGGGAAAGATAAAGCTACTGTTTAAATGTCGTACTCTGTTCAGATGAAACAGGGCATTGAGGAGTTTGGTGTTGGTGACAGACGCAGCTGTATTTTAGTGCTGGCTCTGTGGCCGTATCACAGGGACCTGCTGTCCGACAGCATTCCAGCTAGTGAACTCAGAGGGGAGGAATTCTGTGAGTGGAGCGGCGTTTCGAACAAGAGCCACGAGCAGGAGCAGGGTCAGGTGTTCCTCACAGGTGGAAACTGAGACCTCTCGCTCTTTCTGTTCCTAACCCTTCATCCGCCTGTATCGGTAACCACCCATCTCGCCCCCTTCCGACTGACCCCTCCCCCATTATCTCTGTTTCTTTTTTTTATACAGTAAACCACTTGATTGACAGCTACAGCTGGGCGTTCTACTGCATTCAGCTGTGCGGCTCAAAAAAGATGAGCCCTTCCTGATATGTGCAGCCCTCCATAGAGACAGGCCTCGAACCAAGGCCAAAAAAAGAAGCATTTCCATTTGGACCTAAATTCCCTGATCATCACCCCTCATTCCAACCTTTCCCGATATCCTCCAAGCACAGCTCGGCAGTGTAATATCAAATGTTCGAATCCTGTGAAGTGAACTGAGCAGTCATCAGGTTTTTCATCATTTCTGGGAGACGGTGATTAACTGTAAATCAATGAGGTCACACCATGGCAGCACAACTGCCCGCTATAAAGACACAGATCAATTTACTGCTCAAATGAACGACACATTTTGTAGTGGAGAGATATATTACAGATGGGAACATTATCCATGCAGAAGACAGATTACTGCTGGGCTATCAGTCGGTGTGAAGGAGATACACGCAAGCTGGTGTTCTGAAACAGGGATCTACACATGAACAAGTCTATAACCAAGCATTATTTAAAATAATCACATAGAGCTGCACGATTCTAGATAAATTGAGAATCACGATTTTTTTTGTCTCAAATAGAGATCATGATTCTCCCACGATTCTGAACTACACAAAATAATGTGTGGCAAAATATTATTGCTGCAGTCTATTTAAAAGTCTTTAATTAATTTGAATGAATGATTAAACATTTTAATATACACTACCAGTCAAAAGATTTTGAACAGTAAGATATACACTCTACCATTCAAAAGCTTGGAGTCAATATTTTTTTTGAGGGGGGGATTATATAAATTAATACTTTTATTTAGCAAGAATCCTTTAAATTGATCAAAAGTGATGATAAAGACATTTATAATGTTACAAAAGATTTCTATTTCAGATAAATGTTGCTTTGAAATCATAGGAATAAATTACATTTTAAAAATATATTAAAATAGAAAGTTATTTTAAATAGTAAAAATATTTCAAAATTGTACTGTTTTTGCTG